CTCTCCTCTTTCTCTCTCTCTCTCTCTACTTGACCTAGCTTAGTTTAGAAAACAAAGTAAAAAATAGGCATGGCAAAGTTTAGGTATCCTTTGACTTTTACACCAGATTTGGGTTCAAATCCTGGCACCTCCTAATGGCTACTTCAGCTTGGACAATTTACCCTCCCCAGGCCTCTGATAAGACACAAGTGCTGGGTTCTTGTGCTTTTTCTGTGTAAGGCTCTTGCTAACAGAAGAACAAAGTTGCATGGGAACCCTCCATCTGTATCTCCTACAAATACATCACACAGTGGGATCTTCTGTGTGAGAGGAGGCTCAGCTGGAAAGGCAGGAGCTTGACCAAAATGTGCATCTTCTCCCACACAAAGGTCTCTTAAGATATTCTGTAAGATTGCACACAGTATTGCCAAGCAAAACCACCTCACGTAATTAGAGAGGTCTTCGTGAGGCCATCTGTCCTAGGAATGGTCGATGGGTTTGTTGTCTGGAACACAGGAAAAAACAGAAGCGAGGCCTCTGCCAAGGACCTCACTGTCTCTAGAGCTATTACAATTTTTTCTTACTCAATTCAGCCAGCTCTTGGTTTTGGCCATTATGGATGATTTAGGTTTTGCTCATCCTTTAATACTCAGCTCAGACCTACGAGAGAATGATCCTTGAAGGTCTGCACTGGTCTTAGTCACCTACCCACCTGCCTATACTTATACCGTGTTCTTTGTCTAATGCTACACTATATTGAAATATGTTCACGTGTCTGGCTCCCATGCAGAGTTACAGCTCCTCTACAAACATTCTCTCTCTCTCATCTAGAACATAGTGCATAGTAATAATTTGAAATCCTTACACAGTGTTTCCCATGTGCTAGACACTGTCCTATGTATCTTTCACATATTTTATTCTTACACTAATACCCAGAAGATAAACACTATTATTCTAAATGTTAAAATGAAGAAACTAAGTCACAGAGTAGTTAAGCAACTTGCCTAAGATCACACAGCTATTAAATGACAGAACTTGAAGCAAAGCCAGAGAGTCTAACTCCAGACCCTGCACTCAACCACTAACCCTGCTCTGCCTCATAGATTCTCAGTAATGCTTGACTGAACATTACCCAGCATAGATGCATTCATACAAATATCTGGCCTTAAAGGAGAAAGAATAGTCTTAAAGTCTCAGATTCTTAAGTTTTTCTCAGGACAAAGATAAATGACAATAGGAAAAGATTTCCAAAAAAAAATATCTGTAGCTTTGATTTGTATATTATACTAAGTTCCATTTGACCACCAAATGCCTCTCCAGGCACAAAGTCTTGTTAATCATGTATGTGGAATGGTTGTATTTTAGAAATCAACTCAA